CCTCCCTCCGGGCCTCCCGCACCGCACCCATGAGACCTCGCGTGGATTCCAGGCCTGGGGCCCGGCGCGCTCTGCACTCCAGAAGTCCTGGCTCCCACGGCTCGCAGGAGCCCGCAGGCCTTTCCCTTTCCCTGCCAGTCCTAGCGGCACGACTGCGGTGAGGCCGCCGATGTTGGGCACATGGCACACTGAACCCTAAGAGAGTGTAACTCTAATTCCGGATCAGAATGGCGGAGCGCTTCCAAAACTGCGAAGCCCTAGTAAGGGCACAGGCTTAGGGTTAAGTAGATGGCCGGGTGAATTTCCCCTCTGGGTTTACGAGAAAAGGTTAGAGTTCCCTCTAATATAAGGTCAGGAAAAAGAGGGTTTGGAGACACTGTGACGCGCTTTAAAAAGCTATCAGTGATTTTTGTGTCTGTTAGATTTGAAAGCTGACCTTACCGACGTGGTTGTCTGTTTTTGCTTAGCAGGCACTGGGATATGCTTTCATGTTTGGAGCACCTGTACTATTTTAACCCTATCTCCATCCCAGTGTTGGTTTGTCCTGGACTAGAGTAACAAAGAACCAGGGTGGCTCAGCTAACAAACCTGCCTGGGGTTCTAGAGGCACGGGGCTGGGGTGAGGGGCTTCCTTCTGAGGACTGGGAGGGAGAACTTGCTCTCTTGTCTCCTAACTTCTGGTGCTCTGAGCCCATCTTTGGTGTTCCCTGGGTGGAGATACATGGCCTGCTTTCTGAATTTGTCTTCACGCGGCATCCTCCCTGAACCGAGTTACTGTTATGCGTGGTAGCAGGTCACCCCCAAGTTGTATGTGGCTGTGTGCATGATCTGCGAACGTCTGGATATATAAGTGGCACCTCAGCTTATGAATTTAACTTGTTTGATGATTTTGCAGAAGATGGCTGCATTTGTGTTTATGAGGGGTAGAGGACTGTGGTCCTGTTTGTCATTCGATGCGGAGTTTGCAAATGAAAACAAGGTTTTGCCAAATGCTTTCGTTTGTGAAGCGAATTGTTTGCAGACAGCAGCGATCCTGAACTGAGGCATTGCTGTCCATTAGCCACAGTTAACCCACTTATGCAGAAGGTTACATGTTTTTTTGCATGAAATTCATATACATTACCTAGAAAAATTCAAGGAAGAATTGGAAGAGAACAATTTTTATTATGTCCCATGTTTGTGACATCCCGAGCACAGAACACTAGGCCCAAATGGGCTATAATGGTGGCACTGCCCGCTATGCAGCTGTAATTGTCAGCAATTAGAGCCTGAGGCTGAGGAGAAATTGATTTTGCTGGTTTGACGATAGAGTTAGAAGCTCTGCTGAGAAAAATAGCTTTCTTCTTGTAAATACCATCTGTCCTCATGGCCCATGAACACTCACTTTGTCCAACACCCTTCTGTGACTTTTCAGCGATGTAAATTGAATGTTTTATACCTTCTAATAATAATAAAGTTATACTGACAAGAGTAAGTTAGGAATATTGAAAGTGATATGAGGGCTGGGAATTTAGCTCAGTGGTTTGGGCCTAAGCTTGATCCCCAGTACCCCCCTCAAAAAGTCATGTGAACTGTTCCATTGCTATTATTTTAAGAAGTAATCTTTACTTTTTAAAAAGTTAAAGACCTTTATTGTGAAAAGAAAGTGTTTTTTAAAAAATTAGCATTCTGTGACAGTCATAGCAGGAACAAACAGCCTTTATCAAAGAGATTCTGTGGAAAGATACTGTCCAAATAAGTGAAAGAATTAGCAAGACCTAGCATCAGGACAATGGAAGAAATCTTTCTAATCTTGGAAATAGGGAGCCATGTGGGAAGAAATGCCCTGTAAAGAAAGGAATTTGAATAGGAAAAATGTGGGAGTACTGAAAGTGTATTTCCCCTCTTGGAGAAACCAGAAGCCTTTTCCCTTCTTATTTCCAATAGAAATTTTCTAACTTTCTCCTTTCAATTCAAAACTTCATTCATTGACCTTGCGAGACCACAAGCTCGGTTTGTACAGAATTAACTATTTCCTATTCATTCATTCATATTGCTTCTTACATGATTATCATTTCCCAGAGGAAAACAAATGACTATTTTCTTGCCTCTCTTTGATTCCAGTATTTGGTTCCAAGAGTCCTCTCATGAATTAATGTGCACACAAAGGCTGAGGAATGGTTTGCAATATAGAACAAATTCAATTATTCCTACATTTATAAATGTATATAGGTCTGTGTAACAGGCATGAAGCCTGATACCAGTTCTTTTGACAGCTAGATGGATATCAAACATTTAAATTACAAATATTTTGTTTATATAAAATAGTTAATAAGACCTAAATAAAATAGATATTTAGACTTCTGACAGTTTAGGTTTGGATTCTCTCATGTTTTTGTTTTTTGAGACAGGGTCTCACTATGTAGTTCAGGGTGACCTTCAACTCACTAAGTAGCCCAGGCTGGCCTTGAACTCAGGGCACTCCTCCTGCCTCAGCCTACCAAGTGCTGAGATTATAGGCATGCACGACCAATCCTGGGTAGATTCTCTCATCTTTATTCTTATAATTTACATTTGACTTTTACATTTTAAGTCTTAATTCAAAACAGCTGGACAGATGGTTTCTCGGTCTCCCTTTGTATCTTGCCTTAGAGTGAGTGGTGGGCTGGATGCAATGATCCTCTGACAAATTTTCTGGGTCCTTTCCATTAAAGCTGTGTTGGTTAAGCTTGATTTCAACTTGATTGGCTTGAGAGACACTTGATCAGTAAGTAAAGCACACTTCTTGGAGTCTCTGGTCACAGGGGCATAACCTTGGGCACCTTATCAGTTGTGTCCTTGGCCCTTCCCGCTCCAGCCCAAGACTACGGCCACAGCTGCTGAGGAGAGGCAGAACTCGTGGGTCTTAGGTTTGTTCCCAGTATTCGTAAATCTTCTGGAGTCAGGATTGAAACAGATTTTCCTCATTTGTCCTGCCTAGTCTATTCCCTGAAACACCTGTGTTTCCCCCTGCAGTCTGACAAAGGCCAGCATCCTTCTATAACCAGTGCAGGGCAGAGATCAGGGCATCTCTGGAAGAAGTAAAAGGAGAGAGGGGAAAAAAAACTCACGGCAAGGGCAGGCTTCATTCACGATAAAGACCTGAGAGGGGCCATTGGCTCCGAAGTGCCAAAAGCAGCTGTCTCTTATAGGGTAAGGGTTTCTAGGGTGTGGGAGGGAGTGGGGAAGTGAGGAGCCCGCTATTCTCAGGGTCAGGTCTTTGAGTTTGTGGTTGCTGTCTGCCTCGTGTTGTACAACGTTTCCTATTCTCAAGCCTGATGCCCCTTGGTCCCGATGTTCTGTACAGTAAACAGATTTCATGGGCTTCATAATTACGGAAGAATGTGGGTAAGGGTCGCAACTCATGGGAAAGTGTCTATGGCTCTACCCTTCAATCTCCTTGTGCTCATCAGCCACAGGCACCCCAACAACCCCAGCTGGAGGCCTCCCTTTACATCTAAACCCCGAAGCCAAGGTGTGCGATCCACACAAGACTGCCCCTTCTATTGACTCAGTTCACTTTCTCTTTTACGGTAGTGCAGAGAAAGTTCAGCCTCCCAGGGTCGCAGCTGTCCCAGCCCTGGTTGGGGCCGTTTCCTGCCTACCTCACATCCTCTGCCAACCACCTCCTGGGGGAGCAGGGCAGGACTGACCTCTGTCACTCCTCCCTGGGGTTGGCTAAAAATGCTCAGGCTGTGGTTAAAGGTATTGGAGAAGTCATAGGGCCACTTCTTCCTGACACTCAAACATGGGAGGCTTTGCACAGTTCGTAAACACTAAGCACCACCTGTTCAGAGCAGAAACTCTTTAGCGTAAACTTCTTCACCATATCCTAATGAAGGGCAGCATCATTTGACTGTGGTCATCAGAAATTTAGGTCATCCTTAATTCATTCTTCTCTTTTCCTGCCCTTATCAACCCATCACCAAATCCTACAGATGTTTACCTTCTAAAAGAACTCTTTAATACATTCATTTGTGGGCTTCAACTAGGGGAGATCTTGTGCGCACTGCCACCTTGGAAGGGCACTTACCAATGTCCACTGACATTTTGAATTGTCACAACTGTGGAATTGTGACTGTCCAATGCTGCTAAACATCCTGTAAAGCATAGCAATTCCCTACTCCAATCCAGCCCAAGCTACCACAAGTGCTGAGCTTGAGAAATACTTGTTAGGACCATGGAATAGACTGACACATCTTTCTACTGCTGCGGAAGGCACTGGTAAAATGACACACAGAGACACAAGAGTGGAGTGGGTAAAACAAAAAATGTTTACCTTGCTAGCAAAGGGTCAGCCAGCCCCAAGGGCTGTGCCAAGTGACTGACCCTAAGCTGGGTTACACTCTGCCTTTTATAGGAGTTTTACAGTCATGACCTCATTTTAGGTAGTTCGATAAGACATTCCAGTTCTCTCAGTTCCCATCACAAATCATGGCCACAAGACAGTTTAATTTTAACCCAAATGTAGCATCTTTGTGGTTAGGATACTTATCTTTAGGATTTGCCTAATTAGCTATTCTACCCCCATAAGAGTGGGGGTCGGGGTTAGGAAAACAGGACTGGAGACATTTCTTTCATCTTAACTCTTTTATAGTTATAAGATTTACAGAAAGTTTAGGGTTTATGGTCTAAGTGTACTTTCCCTGTAAGGTATGGCAGTTGTTATATTAGTTTTGAACATCTGGTCTCATCCTGGGGATGCGGCTAAGCACCTCCGGCATCTGTTAATCATAACATTTTAACCTGGGGCTAAGTGCCTTCAAGTTTTGTAGTTAATGATGAAACCTCTGGTACTGTCCTAAGAAACAAGCAAGCAAAGCAAATTACAGAAGGGAAAGACAATGGTTATTCTGTATTTCTTTAACATTTTGTAGGTTTCAGACTATTTATACAAGTTCTCTTTATCTCTATTCAATTCTGTTTCCCCACCCAACTGATATTCTGCTGCAGCCAGAATGATCTTTTATAAACATAGATATGATTATATCATCCTCTTGCTTAAAATGATTTAATGTATTTTTCATGGCTCTTAGAGCAAGGCCAGAATTCTCAACCCACCCCTCACCTGACCTTTAGCTTCTTCTTAGCCTCAGCTGCAGTATTTTCTTCTCATCTCTCTTCTTTGATGACATTGTCATCCCCAGTTCATCCAAGCTGAGGCCCTGCCTTTATTCCTACCCACAATGGTCCTCCACCTATGCAGCCCCTCCAGTGATCACTCATTCCTGGACCCCCACTGAAAATGGCAATTCACACAGAAAGCATCCTCAGTGCAACTCACTTAACTAGCATGAAAGAAGAAATTATTCAGTGATATTTGGTAGAGCGTGGTAAGGCAGACTTTGCTCCAGACCACTCTGACAGGAATAGGCATCACAGGAATGGGAAAGAGAGCTGGAGAGGGAGTTTGGCTGGACTCCAAATCAGCATGGCCAAGTGGGAATTTCTATCTAGGGAACAGGGCGGGTCAGTTGATAGAAATTTATCCAGGAGAAGCAGCAGAAGTAAAGGATATCTGGCTACAGCAACCTGACAGGATTCTTGCTGAAGACTGGCAGGGGATCACACATCACTGGGAGGTGGTGATCACATAAAGTGGGGAGGGATCACTTCCTGTCAGGTTAACAGCAGGATTATTTTCTAAAAGTGAATTATACAAGGAAGTGCACAGATAGGCTCAGGAGGAGATTCAGAAGAGTGGCTAAAATTGGGCCAAGCAGAGAATCTTTGTCACTAGGTAAGGATGCTGGTGTAAGTATCCACGATACCATGCTTTTCTTCCTGTTTTAATCTACAGTTCTACATTCCTGTGATATGGCTGTCTAGCCCTCCACCCTGAGTCCCACCAAGAAGGAAGAGATTTTATCTGTCTTGTTCACTGTTGTGTTCCAAGAGGCTGGCATGAGGCATGACTGCATGGCAGACGCTCAGTAGGGCTTTGTGAGAGAAATGAAGAAGAGAGTTTGTATAAATAAAATGTGAAAATTGAGAATCAAAATGGAGCACATGTTTTGGACCTAACCAAATAAATAAATAGATGAATGACTGAATAAATAGGAAGGAAGAGTTCTTGTGGAGACAAGTGCCTGATAATGTCTATCACAAAAGACTCTGCCAGACTATGACCTTGCATGGGAGCCACCGTGAGCTTACACGAAAAGTACTACTACAAGGACATGAGCCCGACAACTGTCCGTTCACCCTCAAATGGATGCCACCCTTGTTAATCACCGTGGCCAAGGAGTAATGTTTCAAAATATTTGATGTAACCCTACTCATTTTTATCTTTTAAAAAATCTCGTTTTTTCCCCTTCTTTCAACTTGCCCATAATTTATCACGGCAAGTGTAGTCCCACTGTAATTCTCTGCTGTTCCCAAATTAAATCTTTTTCTTTGGAGAATCTCTCTGGTTATTTTGGGGTTAGGTGCGTGGTGGCAAGACAAGGGGAAGACCTGAAGGAGGAAAGGGCACGGAGGACCCGAGAGGACAGGGGAAGGCTGGGAGCTGGACCATGCCAGCCGCTGACCAGGCGATGGTGACTCCCGGGGCCGACGGTCCTGCGCAGATGAAATGCTGCCTGTCACGTCTCGGCAATGCTGGGCACAGCCCGCCCTCCAAACCCTGGGCTCCTCGACTTCCATCCAAGAGGGAGGCGGTGCCCCTCAGGAGGTTGCCCGCCCACTGACCCCCTTTCCGCTCTCCCATTGGCCGAGACACCCGGCGGTTCCACAAATCCGCTAGGCTCAAGCGAGAGGGGGCCAATAGACGCGGGGGTTACGGTCTCCTGGATACGAGCGTAAACAACTAAGGCTGCTCCGCGGGGGCTGCCGGGGTAGCTGAGCCGGGGTCTGGCGTTGGCTGTAATGTCCGCCGAGGGAAAAGCAGCCCATGGCGCAAGGCAGGGAGCGAGAGGACGCTTCCTACTACGCCCAATCCGCCGGCGGCGCGAGCCTGTCCGTGAGGTGAGGCGTCCAGGCCCGGCGCTGACTTGGGTCTTGGGGAACCCGGGAGCCCCTGCTTCCACCGACCCGCGGACCCGCGCTCTTCTCCGCGCCCCTAACCTGCCTCCGAGGCTCTTCTCCGGCCGTCTTTCCCTTCTATCCCGCGACCCCGACCCCTGCTCGCCACCCAACATTCCTCTCCCCAGCCTTCATGTCTATCTTCCTGCCCACCCTGGCTGTGCCGCCTTCTGTGGGCCGGTTCCCAGACCTTCCCTGCAGATCCCCCACTCCGTCCCTGCCTTCAGTCTCCCTTTGGAAAAGCGGGAAGCGCTGCGGATACCGGTGCCCCCCACCCCCGGGTTCCCCGCGCTCTGCCGGGCTGCGCGGCCGTGGCCTCAAGCCCTGATGCCCTCTCCTGTACTCACTTCCCAAACCCCCGTCCTTCACCCGCCTTCTATGCATCTTCCAGCTTATCTTTATCCTTTAAATAAAATACAGTCTTTTAGCTCAGACCGCCCTTCCTTCTAGCGCATATTACTCCTTACTAAAAGGATGTGTCTTTTATGTTCTAACCTTTTAAAAAATGTTGACCACATTTCTTCTTTTGGGGGGAGAGGGTCTGCATTTATCGATATTTTTAGGCCTAAAATATGGCAAGATACATCTGTGTAAAAAAAGCAATTTTCCTACTTCTATTACAACTACAAAATGTGTTTTTCTACCCAAAGTTGTTTTTTTTTTCAGCTTTAATTGAGTTTATTGGTACATTTTAGGGATACAGTAGTTACATTT